AAAAAATAGACGAGATTCTCCTGTAATGATGGGTCAGCGCCATATCGCACCAAGTATTTCTGGTTGAGGCTGTCCAATGTCACTCGCTCCCTGGTGTTCAATAAATATTCCAACGGTGTTTCACCAGGCTTGAATGAGTCCAGGCCACGATCCAGTGCCAGCTGTGCCGCTTCCATTTTGATCTCGGTGTCACTGGCCACTAAATAGTGGTTGACCTGCGTTGAAATGTCAGAGTCTCTGAAGCGGGCGACGATGTCATTGTATACATCAAACGGGTCGCTCTGACACGAGGTTGACTCACGCCGAGCCCCCATCAGCCACGTCCTGTACCGGGCCGTGCCACCAAATCCGAAATCGGACGGTTCTGAGAAAAGCTGGTAGAAATCATAGTCCACATGGCAGTCTTCGACCATGCCAAGATCTAAATCCTGGACTGGAAACGATCGACAGTGACAAACCCGAATCGAATGAATCCAAACATTTGATTAATTGTAATTATATTATATTACTCACCAAACCTTTTTTGAATAACATGTAACACTGGGTCCCGGGGTCCTTCGTACACTCAATGAGCAAAAGGGGCGTACGGTTCACTTTGTGGTAGTGACCGTGTGCCAAATACACAACATTGGTAGGCCCTTCACGTTTCAAACGCTTGCCGGCAGTGGAGAAGTCGGGGCACGGCAGCCCGCTGATGCAGAATTGCGCAGGCTTCCTGATACAGCAGTGTGTGTTGTGCATCAGGCAAGGCGCGCAGGAAGATCCCTGCAAACCCAATTCACGCACTGTCCCCAATTTCTTGGAGAAATCACCTCCATTGACCAGCAACTGCCTATTCTCAAAGATCTGCATCATGTCGCCAAACAGGCAAGTATCTGCAGGATCGTGTCCAGTCACATCCCTTACCCAGAGCGCAGACTCTTGCAGCAATGTTTGGCATCTGTGATCCAAGTCCTGAGAGGCAGTGCAGGCAGCGGGTCGTGATTTTAAACCGTGACAGTGACAGTCTTAGTCTTGACCCTCAGAATCTTGGAAAGAACATAACCCTTCAGCAGTCCCTTCAGCCCGAGTTTCCCACATGAACAAAGTCGGAATATCCATTGTCACGTGACCTGTCTGGTTTACCACATGCTGAAGCACTGCCCGCGACAGCTCAGCTGTACCGCAGCCGCTGCAGAAACTACCAGCGCCAGTGGCCTGTGCCAACCAGCTTTCCTTGGCCATTTGAATTGACAAAGTCAGTCAAATAAACAAACTTACTGTCAGTCAACTCACTCAGGTGCACCAATTACTCATTGCCCCGGTGGTGACCACTTCCAGAACCACAATACACAATTTGACAGTGCATCATCATCCAAGAGTCCTTCAAAATATCAGTAGGAATCATCTCTGTGACAACTTCCCAAGCCACTGCCATCCCATTGGAAGCTCTTGTCAACGGAGTCCAGTCGAAGTCCTGCTTGCTGTTTTGGTTCGGAGTTGCCAGTTACAAACGGAGTCCAGTGACCGGCAAAACTAAATCCTTTGTCATTATTTGGCGTCCCATTGTTTTTAAAAAGAATAACTTTCCACGGTCCTGTCCATGGGCAGAAGACTGTGTAAGCGGAAACTCATCATTCAGACTGGTTTCTGATTGGATCCCTGACAGTGTGGTCGATGAAGTCTGGGCCATGGCTTGCACTACACTGGCCGACTGCTTAGCTGAATGATGTTGTAAACAGATAGCCCAAATCTGAGATTATGCATTTCAGTCAGCGTCTACTACTGGACTTCAGACTAATGAACCATCAGTTCGTTAAAAAGCATTACCTTTTCTTGTTCGAGCCGACTCAATGAATCAATGACCATTCATTGTACTTGAATGGGTCGGCGAGTCAGTCAGTCTCCGAGTCAGTCCCATTCGATGTCGCCCGCCGCTCAGTAGTAGTCTAGTCTAGTAGTAGTAAGACTCCGTCGTTGAGTATATCCGACTAGTCTAGCCAGGTTGCCAAGGGAGGACCATATGCTGCAATGTTGTCGGAAGGGCCTGGGCTGACTGGCAAATTGAACCACGGGGTGATGTAGCCAGTGTTCACAACTCCAATCCAACGACACTCCAATGAATGAGACTGAAGATTGACATCACTGGACGACTAGGGCCTTAGGGTGACGATCATTTCTGTGTATGGTCCATAATTTTAGTTCAAGCGACTGTGAAATTTGTAGGCCTCAATGGGCACCTTCTGAATGGAGCTCCCGTCGAACATTACCTGCATTCAGAATGACAGAATGACCATTCAGACAAGTTGAAGCAGTAAATCCATTTCAATTAGCAACACCCCTGGGTTATTCAGATCGTTTCGTCGCCGCGACCCAGGAATGCAACGTGAAGAGTAACCCTGGCCTGCCTGCATATGGCTGCGGTGACTGAAAGTCTGCTGGCATTTCTTGAGATAGGCGACCTGGATCGATGTGAGTCAGTGACTCCAATGACCTGACCTACTCAAAACATTTATATAAGGCTTTGGATGCTTTTTAAATTGATTTTGACAGACTGACTGACTGCTTCGTCGATCCAGGATTAGATTACCTATTGGCAAAAGTCATTCATGCAAATTGATTGAATTCCGGGCCAGGCCTGCTCCCACTGACACAGATAGGGTGCGTAGATCCTCAGCTTTATGCCTAGCTGGGCCTTGGCAAGTGTAAAGTACCTCAGTGAGTCAGTTCAGTAGGCAATAAATTAAACAGACTGACTTGTCATATCCAGGAACTAACTAATGAATGTGCATTTGTAATGATTCACTTTTTTTGCAGATAGTAAACTAGGAATTCTAATTCATGCCATTCTGCTTGCCATCCAGGACAGCCCGCACCAGGTTGTACTTGTCGTGCGTAGTCAACCGCCGCATTTTGGAGGGTTTTGGCAAGCCAGGAGTAACAAGATCTCGGGCACGACGATCCTGAGGTCTAGTCTAAGTCTAGTAGTAGACTATTTTTATTACTATCATAATTGAGTGACTAAAGCCTGAACAAAGACAGATAGTGTTTCACTCGGGCGTTGATGAATCACAAAGATTTGTTGCTGGAACGACTAACCGTGCAGCTTTGCGACGGCAAAAGCGGCCACTTGCGAAAGTAGGCTGAGCGCTTGCCCCCGCATCTCCTTCCACAGCGGCTTCTTGAAGTTGCGCCTCCTTAGGGAAAATTGGGCACTGGCTGCTAGCCTGGGTTGCGGATTTTAAAAACGGGTGTTGTCACTACACCTGAGTGAGTCAGTCACTAGGAAAATATCCACAAACAGCCTACCGTACCGTACTTACTAGGTAATTGGTTTAATACAGTCCAAGAATCGAATCAATGCAGAAGGCAATGGCATTTGGCAACCCAGCATGCCCTAAAGGTCCGTTGACCCAAGGACGCGTAGGATCCTGGAAGTGGCTGGATGCTTCAGCGGTTGCTGAAACTGTTACTGTCACCCATGACTCTATCACCAACTCACACTGAATCAATGAAAGCGAATATTAATATGTTCCTGCAAGTCATTGTCCCATTCACGCTTCACTTCGGAATGCTTGCTGGGAGGGAAGAAGAAATGCAGTGGGATGTTCGTGGTAGGCTCCAAAGTGATCCACATTTGCAATCCTGAGTTGGAAGCCGGAGTGCACTACAATTCAAGACCTCGCCAACAATAATCACAGTCAAAATTGACGACTCCAGTGGTGAAGAGCAAAGCAAAATTAAAACCACTGTTTGTTGCCATGCACAATGCCAAATTTGACAAAAATAGGAGCTCTGAACGACGTAAACGAGATTCCCAGAGGCCAAACACATATCATAAAATCCCCAAGGCGAACACACAGCTTGAACAGGTTCTCTAGGAAGGTGAACGAACAGGACCTAACCTCTGCTGTAGCTCTCGGCTGCGACAAAGACCACCCGAGGAGCGATAGCATCGCCGAGGTTGGCAATGTTTTGTCGTTGAAGATCGCGGGCCCCTCTGATTCCTGTTGCAGCAATGCAAACCAAATAAAGTTAGACAGCAGTGAGTGGCAAACCTCTTCACTGCATGGCATGCACATTCAACCAACTAGATTCTGAGTCTAACTCAGTTGATGGAATGCAGCCGCAGCCGCCATAAATCAATACAAGGGTCGTATTTGGATCGGATTGGCTGTAGCAGCGGTGGTTGACAGCCCGGCCAGATCAACTTGTGGAACTCCAGCACAGAGCTCAACCGCTCGTTGAGTTTGTTTCCTGAGATGATCAGACTCACGACTATTATTATCTGGCCTAGGTAACGTCGTGTCAACGTCTCTTGAGACCCTGAACCAGTGTTCTGTTTGCCACTCCTGTTGCCCTAAGCTACAACTAACTTGTACGCGTGACTAGATTTTGACGAGTAGTAATTCATGACTAGATTTTGAAGTAGTAAAGTCTTCAAGTTAGTTGTAAGTCGTACGTTGTTTGTGCGCACACAAAATTCATCAAGTCTCTAAATTTTTGATGATCATTCCGAGATCTCCGGGATGGCTCGCAAACATCGAACCGGGAGCAGCACCACAGATCCACAGCGTTCCATTGGGTCTGCCATCCAGGTGACGCAGCAACAAACGCTCGGATTCTCCGAGCTCCATCTAAGTGGAGCTCCCCCTCTTCCAACCAGTCTGTCTCGACTGGCGCTCGATCCATTGCAATGCTGCTGCACCACAGACAGAAGCGAATGAATCAATGCACAAAGCGCACCAATGCATGATTTCTCAACATCACACACTCTCACCAGACTGTTAACTCTAAAAGTTTAGATAGCTTTAGAGCTGGATTTTCACGTGTTTTGTGGTTTTTGTTGATCTCTAAAATTTTAGAGTTGTTTTAGAGTGGTTTAGAGTGGTTTAGAGTTGATATCTAATTCGATCTAAGATTTTAGATGAAGAGGGTCTGTGGCAACAGGGTCTCATCAGACCTTCCTGATGTTTATTCTTTTTGATAGGACTCCAAGGTTTGTCCGTCCAGTTTGGGAGGCACAAGAGGAGCTTAAACTTGCTTGCCTTCGTGGACCAGTTGTTTGAAGGCCAGATTTGTGATCGGATGCTGGTGGTTGCTCATGATGAATGTATATGTAGTGTTCAATGATACATGACATGGTTTGCTTTTCTACCTATTTTGTGGGGTTGAGGCGACGGAACATTGCAGTTGTTCTGTGGGTTCAAGACAAATCCCAAAGATACTATGCGTTAGTGAAAAAAACAGGGCCTGAGACTGTACTCCGTTCTACAGTAAGAGACACTGGGGCTTCGCACATGGGATCCAACTTTGCCCCATTCACGCGATATAATTGCATCTGGCCCTTCGCAGGTCCAGACACATGTAAGGAACGGAAATGCTAAGAAGGACGAACAAGGTGCACATCTCAACTTGCAGACGAGAGAGCTTCTTTCTCCTAGTAGTAAGGCCAGGAGCGCCTAGTAGCTTCTTGCTCCTAGGCGCACATCTCAACTTGCAGTCGAGAGCGAAAATAATCCAAGGGGTCTGCACGGGGGGGGGGGTCTCCAAGGGCCCCCCCCATGATAATAGTTTGTTCCACATCGGTCTGGTTTTGGGCCAACTGCTTCTCTTTCCATCACGATCAGTGCTAGCAAATACCTCCCAAGGCTGATCTAAACCCACTTAGTTGTACAAATGGCTCGTGCTGCATTGCCTTCTATTTGGATTGCTCTCAGCATCAAGCATCAAGGGAGTCAAAGGGCCAACCTAGCGAGAAATAGAAAGGCAATTGCGGGGAACACTGCAATTTGTGAAAGAATGTACACACACATATATATATATATATATATACAGTAATCATACTATGATGTACCTTAGGCTAGTCACTTGTTAAGTCCAAGTGCTTTTCTACACCGTCTTCTTGATGCTAGATGCTGCAAAGCACAACAGATAGTTCTCCAATGGTCAGGTCACCCGACCCTCGGTGGCCACGGTGCTACACCGACGGTACGGAGCGACGGAGCCGAGGCGACAACCTTCAGCAAAAGGATGTGGCACATGACATCGCGGCTTCGGCGATCACACAGAATGCCTTGGCCTCTGGTGAGGTGGTGTCCCTTGGAAGGGTGGAGTCAGCAGTTCAAGGGGGAGAGACCCAGTAGAAGACTCATGGATAAGATCATTTCTTTGGGGGGTCCCATGTACTGCAGCCTTGTAACTGAATTTTCGATGGAGGGAACTAGAGTTCCTCGAAAACAAAGACAAATCCACATCCACAAGGAGTTCAAGTAAGCACTCCGCCAAACAATTGGTCGGTTCACGTGTCAATTCTGACAATCCCATTAAATCATATATATATAAATATATTAATGTCCAGCTTGTATGTACCAACAGACCAGCGTGTTTTATTCCTTGGGAGGTGACTGCTCTTGAAACCTCCCTCGTTTGATGAAGCACGAGCGAGCTAAGGTTCTATTACCAAAACCTGGCAGAGCATGTCTTCATGGCCCATTCGGGATCTCTCGCCTACTGGCAGAATGGTGGGCCTCTTGGAGAGCAGTTTCCATTTGTCGTCAGGGGGTGATGCATCTAAATTACACCTTTCTATAGCTATATATATATATAGATGCTAGTAGGTTGGAGGCCATTGCTAGTATGACCCTTTCTTATACTACACATATAAATATATCAATATGTGACGCAAACCCATTTGAATCTAGCAGCTAGCACCTGAACGGAGATGCATGCCAACGAGCTTACTTTGGCTTACGAGAGTTTTGCCCCATATATATATATATATGCATTCTGAAGCCTCTCTGGGTCTTACATCAGCATCTTTGGGGTGTATAGTGATGTGCGGACAGCTATCCAAGTAAGAGAGTTGTGTTTATGAGCAAGATCTTTTGCAAGCAAGAAGGACTTGGGACCTCAGGAGGCTCCAAGAAGACCCCCCTTGCCGCCATTTAATGATGTTCACACGCAAACCTGCAAGGAAAACCGTGGCAAAGGCAGACATTTGGATCGCTGAGATGTGTCTTGGTCTCGCTAAATGGAGTGTCTCGGTGCGGAAGCAAAAGACCTCACCGAACAGGAGGTCAGTCCAGTGTTCAAATGAGCAAGCGTGTGGAGATTTGATATGTGCCTGATTGTGATGTTGATGAACATGCCTTGTAGCTTTCCGTCCGCGTATAGTAATAGCGACCAACCCTTAAAGGTAAGACCACCGAACCACAACATCTTTGATAGGGACTTGTGAGACATATGGATTCGAATGTTGAAGCGACCATTTGTCAGAGGGAGAAGTTCTGCATCCATCTGCTTCCCGCACAGGCAGGTGTTTGCTGGCCCAAATTTCTACAGACTGACCAGATTTGTTAAACATAATCCTGGCTCTGTATCAAGACAACCTTAGTTTTTAATTTTTAAAGTGGTACTCGTAGAGGGTTTGGGTAGGTTCCGAACCCGCTCAAGGTGTTCCCCGCTGCGGAGGCAGTGGTTTCAGCCAGAATACATCGGCTGTTCTCCTAAGGTGCTTGTGGACACCATGGTCTTTCGTTGGAGACCTCATCACACAGGAAGTCACTGTGTTTGACTCTTGGCCAGAGAGGATATCTGTCTTTGAGAAAGTCGACCGTCTCAGAATTCATTGTCAACTATTTTGTCAAACGAGCTGGCTGCTAGAGGCACGGAGACCCATACAATGTGGGATGTATCTTAGATGATCGCAGGGAACAAATCCCAGTTGCTGGGTTCGTTTGTCCTTTTCGTCACTTTCATCATGGGGGTCTGGATGAGAGGGGCCCCGGTGTTCGTCGCTGGTGTATGTGACTTCAACCCCTGCCTCACACTTGGCAGAGTGCGCACACTCCCAGATTGAGGGTCTGGCGATTCCCGTTTGGTCCTACCAAGAACAGCTTCGGTGACCCAGACGGAGCATGGAAAGCACCTGCCCACTGCTTTTTGAGGGGTTCTTTGTCTTTCAGGTACGTGGGCTTTGTTGTGGGGTTTTGATGGCTGCAGGTCTCCATCAATCAAGAGAGATTCTGCGACATCGTTTGCAAGAGCCCGGACACGCAGCACATGGCGAAGTCTTTTGCAGAGGTGCCTTTGGTCAGGAAAAAAAGGGAAGGAAAAAGGTTTTGAGCTGATTTTGGTTGGATGCGCGGCGTAGTGATGACTGAATCTCATATGATATCATATTATATCAACACAACATCGACCATAAATCTGCTGCTGAACTTCGTTGCGTGTCTCTGTTTTGCTTTTGTGCAGGAAAGCATGTTTGGATAATCCTTGCCTTTTCAATTTTGCATGGGACATATTTGGAATACATGATAATACTATTTGCATAATGCATGTGCCTTGCTTTGGATTGCAATCTCCAGTCCACATGGTTCTGTGGAAGGACTAACGTGGAAAGGTCTTTGTACCGATGTGCCCTGAAGCAGGGATATCTGGGCGATACTCACACAGGGACATACTGCAATTCCAGGTGTATTGCAGCAACAGGGACCTCGGAAGTGGGATTTCTTGTGTATGGAAAAGGCAGGGCCCCAAATTGGCCCCAAACAGCCCAACGGGTTTGAGTTAATTCATCCTTTGCTAGTGGTACTGAGGGTCGTCCCTGTCAAAGCAAACCCCTCCATCGACATTTGAAAATTGGATCTATATAATTGGTAAGCGTGTCATTCATGTTTTCTTGTTTGCTAAAGGTGGAGCTTTCTTCAATGCTGGGATTGGTCCAAATGTCCACGCATTTGAGGATTGGCCGGTGGGCTTACTATAATTACTGTAAACAATATCAACCACGTTAATAAAATACACGCTTACACCTTACAAGACTTTTTGGGGTATCTCGAGTGTGTTCGCATCTGAAGGCATAGACTTAGACCCTTTCAGCTGATCTTGAGATACATCATCTAAGTCTAAGCTTGTGTGTTAACCCCGTGGAACCTTTATCACGACGAGAACTGGCAAGTTGCCCTAGCGAAAGTAGTGCTTTGCGCCCAACTTTCGTCACTCTCAGCAACATTCTGCGCATCAGCACCTCCCAAAGGTACTTGCCGGTCTTGCTTTTGAGAACGCCGAGACCTCTCGTGCCAGGATTACGTGAGCAGCTTGAACCTCTACAGAGTGTCATCAGACCTTTGGCAATTCCCAGGCGACTTTGCCTGGCTTGGCATGAAGGGAACCTCTTGACTGTTTTCAACAGATTTATGTGGAGGCCATGTTTGTGCCTAGGGACTGAAATCCGGACCCACTTTTCTGACATTTTTGGACTCCACGACGCTTGGTCATGTCATCGCATGGTGTTGGGGTGGGTGGGGGGGTGGGGTGAGGGTCAAATTCCCCGCAGTGGAGTGTGTAATGCATAGTATCCCTGGATTCAACTCACAGTCCAACAAGGTTCACAAGAGCGAGTGAGCGAAGGCGATCGAGCGGCTGTTTTCACACGCACATACCTTGAGCCAAATGTTATGGCATGTCAATGCATTGCGTAAGAGCATATCGCAAGATACTGTAACCAAGTTGAAGCAATAGCGTAAACGGGGGCCCAGAAACAGAAAACATGGGGGGGTGCTGTAATTTCGCTGTTTTCACATACGTCTCGTGAGCATGAAGGCTCAAGACGTAGCCACGGTGTGTGCTTTAGTTTTGTTGTTTCGGTTGTCGGGTGTTCCTTGTCCTCCTCGTTTTTGTGTTTTCTTCCTTTGTGGTGCGTCAGCCCTTTATCCAGACCAGCACGTAGACGGCTTAACTCGTGATTGTTCTGACCCTTGAGTTTCTTTTGTTCACGAAACAGGTTTGGGTTCAGATCGTGGCTGGGTAAACTGGGAGCAGGTGTTAGAAACTCCTTGTTCGTTGTTCACACTTTGGTGCAATGTGTGGTTGAGGTTTTCTTTTTCGAAGAACAGAAACTAAGTCCTTTTCTGTTGGTGACTGTTGGTGTTGAGTTGGCGTTTGTTGCGTAGTTGTAGCAGCTCCATGTCGGATGGGTGCGCCCCCTCTGATTTGCTCGACAATGGCATCGATGAAAAACAAAAATCAGGCAACTTGAGGTGTCGCGAAAAAGCCATTTTTATTTAGGCAAAACGCATGACAAAGCACTGCGTTTACCAATGAATTTGACATGAGAACCTGCAAAAGAGGGTACGGTTTCCAATCCGTACGGATGTTTGTGCAAGGCTAGGACAGCTACTGTAGAAGGTATAGCGGTACCTACAAGATCTTGCAAGGTCGCATGCCAAGGACCAGCCAATTGTTGGAGCTTGTGGCTTAACGTGTAGGTCCACTTCCGCAATGAAGACTTGCTCTCCGTGCACTTTTGGTCTTGCATAACGTATTTGGGGGCATCAACATCTGCACCAATTCAAGTTTCGTTTCTTCCTTGGCTGTTCCCTCTGGAATAAAGGGGCAGAAGGTTGCCTATAGAACTAGCAAGTGTTCGGGGGTGAAGCATACATTGCACATGGGAGCAGCCACCCAGATGCCCTCCAAAAGCTCCCAGCAGTGAGGGATATTGGGCAAGTTGGGGGATCATGCTCACGGTCAACAGCTCTTGATGAGAGGAATGAGATGGAATGAAATTCAACACCCTCCATGCCGCTAGGGGAGGAGCTGGAAGATGATCACGGAAGGCGCCGAAACACCCGCTTTGGCTCAGTGCACATGCGCATCCTGAGTCGGAGGGACCAAAGTTGGATGGAGCATACTCTCGGTTTCTGATGTTTTGCCAAGACGTTGTAACCCACCTTGGGGCCAAGATGACTTGTTGCGGGATCCCTAACAAGGACGCTACTGGGAACAAAGGGCATCGCTACTAGTAACAAGGACGCGGCTGATTACTAGGGGTTCCTGGCCTTACTACTAGTAACAAGGACGCTACTAGGGTATTTCCAGGACTTCTTTGAAGGGGATTAACTTTCTACTTCCAGTGGTCATGGGCAGTCATGGGTTGGCCACCGGAAACCGTGTCTTTCTTGCTAAAACACCTCGGTCATTGGGAACTATACTTTTACATATTTCTTCCCGTGCATGTTTTCAGGGTTTGAGATGTTGAATAGTTTTGTCTATTTGGCCTTGTCAAACAAGTGCCGGCTGAAGTGAATAAATTATATATATCCTAGAATCCTTTCCTTCTTTTCTGATGACTTTGCAATCCGTTTGCTTCGACAAAGTTCCTAAGCCGGAAAGTTGCTGATGTTCTTTCTGGATTGGTGGCTTTATTCTCGATCATTCTTGATCTCCTTCACCTCGGCTTCAGCCCAGCTGAAAGAAAACGGTCACAAGATCTTCAGCCAACCCTTTGTCCCATTCACTAGAATAGATGTTCCATGATTTTCCCTTGGTAACCAGACCAATCCCACAGGTTCCAATCCGCATTTGCCTCGCAGGAATAAGTTCAACATTTTTGGAGCCAAAGACAGGAAGCGGCGAGCCAGCGTGCTGAAGGCGACACCCGGTTCCCTCATGCCTTGTGCTTTGCAGGTTGTTACATGATAGTGGTGCTTTTGTATGGGAGGGATGCCATCCACCGCAGAACAACGAAGAACAGACCTCGATAGCCCTTGGTGGAGCCCCCAATCAAAGCGATTCCCAAGGAAAGCTGCCCCGAATCCTTGAAGAGAGAATTCTACCGGTTGCTTCTTGTTACTAGTAGCGATGGCCTCAAACCTACTTGTGATGGCCTCCACCTAATAGCGATGGCCTCCACCCTAGTAGCTTCTTGTCTTCTTGTTAGTAATGGCCTCCATCCTACTAGCGATGGCCTCCACCTAATAGTAATAGTGTCCTTTGTGACTGCAACACTTCATTTTGTTTTCTGAGTTCGGACTCCGTCCTTTGGTGTACATGTCCACGACCTGGAATAATCTTTTCTTCAAGCATTTCTGGCAGGAACTCGCCAGATACGCAGACCCACACGGCATTTCAACTTGTTTTGAAACACTGTCAAGGACACAGCATGCTGATCCTGTTCAGATTTCACGGTGGACACCAGATATCTACCCACGCAGACCTCAATGGAAGAAGTCCTCGTTTCCCGCACGACCCAGACATTCTTACAACCCAGACATTTCCCACATAGACAAACCTGTTTAACAAAGGAAGGAGTAAAGTAAAGAGAAACAGATTCAAACATATTCAAACCAACAATGGAACTAAATAGGCAGTGGAACATACACATCAAGAGAAAAACAAGTAATGAATACACAGGAACAAATTACTATTTCAGGATACGTTTTGCAATACATGTCAAGGATAGTGTCCAGGACACATGATAAACCAATAGGGCGAAGTTCCTGAATCTTGGACTGGGAAGAGGTGGCCTCAAAAAAAGTCTTGAGCTGGGGGTCCCCAAAGAGTCTGCATTTCCTGAGATCTTAATTCATTATATAATGCTAGTAAAGAAATGGTACTTGTATAAATGGTATAGCTTAGACCAGGAAGGCCCCTGATCCTCAATAATAGAAGTGTTTTATGGGTTCTCCTTTCCTGAGATCTTTAAGCATTAAGCCAACTCTTGGTTGAGGCTTTGGCACTTGCAAGTGCTGAGGCGAGTAGTTTAATGCATCCCAAACATGCTGAAAGAAATTGTCTTGCCAGGGCCCCAGGGCCCTTGCTTTTTGCAGTTTCTTCTTTTCAGCAAGAAGTCCGTCAGGGCCAGAAGTCCGACAAGTGCGATGAGCTGGAACGTGCAAACAACCTGCTCCCAGCAGCCAACGGGTTGCCTGGCATCGTGGATTTTGAAGGTTTCGAGGCACGGCCATTGGAGAGTCGTGCTTTCATTCGTTGGAGACCCGCACAGACATGTAGAGACTCTTCAAGAGTCCGTAGATGTTCCTATGATTCTGATCCATTCCTTTTGGACCTTTCGAAGTTTCTGGGGACGGAGTCGGACGGAACAACCACTTTTCGGGTGAACACTGAACACGATCCATCACGAAGTTCACCAAGCCTTAGAGGGTTCCTAGGAGTGCTGAACCGCTCATGTTGGTTCGGGATGGAACTGGGGCGACCTCCAAAACGGCTCAGTTCTTGCAGGCGACGACGGGCGCGAGGCATGGGGTGTGAGAGGTCTGACAAGTCGCAACACCGCGCTCTGGATGAAGTCTTTCTAGTGATTTCGTCCCAGGCGGCCCATGCGGTCGCAAAACAAGAGCATTGATACGTATTGATACATCATCATGTGGGCTTTTGATTGATTACCTACCCAGAGCTCTGCAATTGAGCAGTTCGCGGCCAGTTGTGGGCTTCAGTTCACAACACGAATGTCTCCAGTTAAACAAGTTGCATTCTGCCAGTTTTTAACATACTGTAAGACCGACTCTTTATACCAGTCACTAGCTGATTAATCTGTTGAAATTTTCAAGTGCCTTGATAATTGCCTTGTCTTGGGTCTCTTGAAATAGAGATCTGATAACTGAAGCTCTTGACATTTTCACCAGACTTGTCATCGAAGCGGTGTGAGTTGGTGAGTCCAGACCAGTCAGACAAGTTTCTGACATTTAACACGTTTTTGATCGGATTTGCTGCTTGGAGCAAAGCAGCTCAGTCAGATTAGTGGTAGTCTCAGTGGTATATTGTGTCCACTTGGACCAAGGCTACAATGCTGGAAGTTTTGCGGGAGCAAGACCATTTTGCTTCCCTAGGTGAGTCTTGTAGGACTAAGTCTCTGCAATGCTCAAGGGAATGTCCAAGATTGGCTTGTACAGCTTGGCCAAAGATAATTCTCTACGGTCAGTTTCTTGATGTTTATTGATACCTCATACTGACTGAGATGGTTCTTTTCGGAAAAGGTGGCCAACAAGGTTTCGGCTGGGGAAGCCAGCAGCCAAGAGAACGTGCTTAGACAATTAAGATCGAGTAAGGTTTGTCAAGTTGGAGAGTCAATGACACTATTGCTGACATAATCGCAAAGCAATGTGTATGGCCAAGAGGAACTTAGGTCCTCAAGCACGCTTTGTTGGTATGGGGATATAGAGAGGACCACGGGTCGAAGTCCTTTTGCTAGCATTCTCGAAGAGTCACTCCCGCTTATCACGTCGTGTGCGGCTCCCAGCGTGTCCTTTGCCACCTCTGCCGAAAGAAGATCATCCCTCAACTGGAAAGTCAACTATCCAGGTTTCTTTTAGACTTGACTCGTTCAATCTGAGAGAGAGAGAGAGAGCAACTTCGCCCTTGTAATGGACCAGGAACTTGCAAAGCTTCTTGATGTTTCTAGTAAAGGCTGCTAAAGAGACTAGGCCCAGGGACCCCGTTAGACCCCACTTCAATCATCTCTGATGGCGAGCAATGGCCTCGCTCATTCCTTCGAACAAGGCCTTTGAAATGTGTTTCTCCTCGCTTGCCAGGGGAGTCTCTTTAGATTTTAACAAATGTGCTACTCCTTCACTCCTTAGCTCCTTCCGTCTGCCTTCTACCATCACATCACCGCGAGCACCACCGCAGTCTGGGCACGCACAGACCTGGAGCGCCAGCTCGGTCTGGGCACGCAGATATGCCAGTTTGCATGTCAGAAGATATGCCACTTTAGAATGCCCAGATTGGATGCCGTATGCCGGAACGTATGTCAGAATTATATATGTTAGCAAGAATGCGGGAAAACATGCCAGATAGCTTGCCGGAATGGATGTCTGAATATATGCCAGGTAGAAGGCCAGAAAATTTGCCAGATATGTTAATTGGAATGTCGGTAAACCTGCATATAGAATCTAGAATGCCAAATCATATGTAAGAAACGATGTGAGGACATATGTCGGAACAAGTGGCAGGTTTGATGGCAGAACAAGTTTTGGAGTGCATGGCAGAACACATGTCAGAGCCGAAGTCGGACCATATGTCACAGCACATATCAGAGCACATGCCAGCTTGGTGCGTGAGTCCATGTCAGAAGTACAGGAAGATATGTCAGAACACATGCCAACAATGACTTCAGAACACATTCCAGAACATTTCCCAGGTTTTTGATAGATGATGTGTCAGAACTCATTCAAGACTTGATGCCAGAACAAACGTCAGAACATTGTGTCAACGCGCATGTCCGGCAGCGTTTGTCAGGATATGTTGTCAATACATGTGCCATGTGCACTGCTTTCTTGCCAGAATCAGTGCAGAATTTGGTTTTTGGAAAGGAAGAGACTCTGCGGGTTTCATTGCCTGTCACCTCGGTCCTCGAATAATTGTTAAATGACTGAATTCCTACAGCCCAAAAACCTTAATTACCAGTCCATGTCACACCCTGGCTTGGGTCAACTGCCAGCCCGAACTTCTTATTTAGGGTCCCCCTGTGACACTCTACAGAGCGCTTTCTACAAATGGCTCCATAGTTTCATGGTTGATCGATTTTGCACTTTGAGATGCTTTGCGCACACATTTCCGCGACTGTCCCTTTGTTGCATTTTTCTTCCGGGTGTGTCCATTGACGCTCCTCACGTTTACCCACTCATTCGCTCGTTTGATGTGATGGGTGTCTCTATTCGTACCAGACACTATGTTCCATTCACAGTGCTGAGTGCTGGTTAAAGTGGTGGGTTCCTAGCATTCCGTTGCCGCCTACCAACATGGAAGGGCAACTGTTCCAAAAGGACCTCTTCCGGTCCTGTTGCTTGTCCTTCAGGACAAACATGAACAAATTACGGCAATCAAAGGCAATCAGGCGTGAACAATTCCACAGGCAAGTGGCTCTAAATCAATGAAGGCCACAACATAATTGTCTATATATTTACATCAACGAATAATATCACTTGTGCAGGTCAGGTTCAGAACCAAGCAAGTATCATGTGTTTTCGCTCGAGCAATTATACACACCAAATACCACAATAGCATGAAGTGGCCCTTGTTATTGAAACTAAGATGCTGGGGAAAACACATCCTTTTTAGAGGTGTTTGTTGCTTTGCGCCAAAAATCCGTTGCGAACCACGGAGTCAGGCTTTGCCCACACAGTCTCTCCATCGGAACCTCCGCCTGACCGTTGCGACCAGGTCCTAGCGCTTTGGTACTCAAAGTGGCGCTTCCTGTACAATCGATGGAGGCCGAAACAGCACACGGAGCACGGCTGAAACACTTGGAGTACCCAGGATTGGATCGTCCTATCGTCCACTGGTAGACAAACGTGAGTGGATTATCTACAAAGCCATCCTGCAAAGTGCAGTGTGAAGGGTGCGAAGGTTGGGAAGATCTCCATCAGAAGAGCTCCACAATATATATATATATAAATACATTAAACAAACTTTGTTGGGACTCTTGGATTTGTTTTGCATTTTGCATCAGCTTTATAGCAAGTGTAATATTGAAGATAGGCTCTCGTATGCTCTCCTGCAAAAGCTACAGTAGGAACTGAGCCTCAGTCTTCCGGCAGGCGGAACAAATGGACATATCTAGCAGTCTAGCATCTAAGGCATCCTTTACTTTGCCAACTTGGAAGGGATTCAGTAGGAAGTGCAAGAAAGGCTGAACTGGCGTCTCCTCAGCACTCAGAGTAAGAGCAGTGATGCTGAATCTAGTCTTGAACAAGAACCCTTTTGGGCCTTTGGGTTTGCTTTTCTCACTGAAATTATCATGAGGTCAGAGTTCATTGGTAGACCATGAGGGCCTGGTTTGTTGCCCAGGCGGTGATCGTAACAGTGCAATGGTGGCCACATGTGAAAATTTTGCAGGCAAGAGAATTGCTCTCAATTTGTGTCTGTGTGTGACTCGGTTCTGCTTATCCAGTTTCTCAAGGGAGTTCTTTTGTATGAAATTTGCGTTCTTCAAGATCAAGTGTACGTTTTCTTCCTTTTCCGCTCCACTTCAGCGTGCTATATACTCCAAACCAGATCCCGACAGCCTACCCTGGGCGCAATTTGGTCGAAAAAACATACCTCTCGTCCCATGAACATTCTGGAGCTGGTTCCCATAAGTTCCGAAGGCCAATTTCATGAAAACCAATTAGTGAAACAGGGGGACCTCCAACTCCAAAATGTTTTGTTGTCTGTCGAAGCTCAGGAGGTCCAGCTGGAAGTCGGAGACACCGAGGCGGTCGTGTCATGAGGAGGTGTTTTTGGTTCTCATAACCTACCAGTCCACTGGCGGAAGGGATCTCATCGGTTCCAAAAAGCGTTGACCTAGTGAAAGAAGGAATGAACTACTTGAGAGGTGATTCTGTCACAAAGCTGTTTGTGAAAAAACTGGGGGTGACTATATTATATATATATATTTATAGTTATATATATAATCATCCTTTCAGTGACTTCCCCCTTCTCAGTTCTTTGATCACATCCTCTCACGGACGCATAAGACCCACAACCAATTGGTGAACTCAATTTTGCCCACAGTATCCCACAACCAATCCACCATCAAGTCATTAGTGTTTGCTGTAAAAGAACATCTAATGCCATGATAAATCATGATATTCTGGGGGCTGCTGTCCGCGGTCGCTGAATTCGGGGCATGGAAGCACCGCGGTTTGGCATGGCCATTGCTAGTTGGTGGCCTGATTGACTGGTGTTTCCCAGAACGAACGAGATCTCAACCTTCACATCATTTAACCTATATATATATATAGATAAAACACAATTTAACACACTATACATGGTGGCCATTGTATTTTGCGGTCCCGCCCTTGGGCACACGCCCAAGAAAACCAAATGTTTGTAGCCCGCGCAGGACCAAAGCGCCCAAAGAGCATAAAACACACAGCCACTGAAGACACCTGCCTTGGACAGCCCCCAAAGTGCATATCTTCTTTTTAGATAAGCGAACGGGGGAGGATCGGCCCCCGGCCAAATCCTGAACGGCTGTCCTGGAAGAAAGAATCTACAGCACACCTTTTCATTCTTATGTTTTTCGGCATGTTCCTTGCCTGTTTTCTCAGATTTTTGGTAAAGCGACGGCAGACCGACATCGCTCAGGGTTCACCGGACTGCCTATCGGGAACAAGCCGTCCCGTCCCGCTCATGTTCAGCGTCTTAGGCCGGAGTCGGCAGATTCCTGTCGGACTTTATCTTCTACAGAACGGCCACAAATGAACACGTAGGAACAAGAAGCTATTAGGTTGGAGGCCATTACTACTAGTAGCAAGAAGCTACTAGTAGTAATGGCCTTCAAGCTAATAATTAGGAACGGCCACAAATGAACACGTAGGCTGTAGGCAGGTGTTTTTGCCTTGGAT